AACAAAATATAAAATCGCACACTGCAAACAAAATATAAAATCGCACACTGCAAACAAAATATAAAATCGCACACTGCAAACAAAATATAAAATCGCACACTGCAAACAAAATATAAAATCGCACACTGCAAACAAAATATAAAATCGCACACTGCAAACAAAATATAAAATCGCACACTGCAAACAAAATATAAAATCGCACACTGCAAACAAAATATAAAATCGCACACTGCAAACAAAATATAAAATCGCACACTGCAAACAAAATATAAAATCGCACACTGCAAACAAAATATAAAATCGCACACTGCAAACAAAATATAAAATCGCACACTGCAAACAAAATATAAAATCGCACACTGCAAACAAAATATAAAATCGCACACTGCAAACAAAATATAAAATCGCACACTGCAAACAAAATATAAAATCGCACACTGCAAACAAAATATAAAATCGCACACTGCAAACAAAATATAAAATCGCACACTGCAAACAAAATATAAAATCGCACACTGCAAACAAAATATAAAAACAAAAGCCTAAACCCCTGCGCGCGCATGTCAGCGGACATGAATTGCGGGCCCACAATCGGCCCATACAAAATGGCGGCTAACAACAACAGTCATGAAGAATTGCCTGATGGCTCTGAAAGGGAATTAATCGAGCACTATTTTCATAAAGGATTTCGGTACAAGGATATCATTCTTTTTCTGAATAAGCATCACGATATAAACATCAATATAAGAACACTTAAACGACGATTGAGTGATTATGGTCTAAAACGTGACGGCCAAGAGTTTGACGAGCAGTGTGTCAAGGAAATAATACGACGTGAAATAGCAAATGGACCTGATAGACTCAATGGCTATCGTACTATGTGGCATATACTGCGAGTCAGGTATCACATTCATGTTCCACGAAGAGTAGTTGCCTCATTATTACGTGATATTGACCCACGTGGCGTCGAAGAGAGGAAACGACGTGTTTTTCATCGCCGCACTTACGTTTCACCTGGACCGAACTTTTGCTGGCACCTGGACGGATACGATAAATTGAAACCGTTCGGATTTTCAATTCATGGAGGGATTGATGGCTTTAGCCGAAAGATTTTATGGCTTGAGCTACAACGGTCAAATAAAAATCCTAAAGTCATTGCAAAGTACTTTTTACAGTACATCGAAGCTGCCAAAGGTTGCCCCACACGTGTTTTCACCGATCTTGGAACTGAAAACGGWCTTGTTGCTGGCATGCAGTGCTATTTACGTGCCGATGGAATTGATGAATACTCGGGAGGCAACGCTCACAAATACGTCCCAAGTACAAGCAATCAAAGAATTGAATGCTTCTGGTCTTCTTACAGGAAGCAACGTTCAAGCTGGTGGATCGATTTTTTCAATRATTTGCATGAATCCGACATACTTGATCTTACAAGCGAGATTCACAGAGAAGCTTTGTGGTTTTGTTTTGCTGATCTGCTTCAAAGTGACTTAGACAAAGTGAAAGAGTATTGGAATTCTYATCGAATCAGAAAGTCCAAACATGCCACATTTGCTGGTGTCCCTGACATTATGTACTTCTTGCCGGAAGAGTATGGCAAAGCTGATTGTTTGCAGGAGGTATCCCCACAAAAGATCTCAGAAATGAAAGACAGAGTGAACTCAGCTTCAGTGGAAGACAACGACATTGTTTGGGAAGACTATTTTACTTATGTGATGGACAATAATGCCCTATCACAACCAGCGACTGTCCGAGAAGCAGGCACTCTGTTCCAGTCTCTAGTTTCCTATGCCAAATGAAAATAAGATAATGAAAACTAGAAAAGTCACTAGTAAACATGTCATTGATACATAGGTAGGATCGTCTTATAGTTACCCATGCATCTTCAAACATTTGCAGATGACATAAATAGCTAAAAWAACATAAGCAGTAATTGGTCTTCAATTAACCTTGTTTAAAAATTCTACTCAAAGTGACTTATAAGATAAATCTAAACCTTGTTAATTTGTTTTCAAAGCATCCTCACAAAATGTAACTCAGCTCATATTGGTTCATAATTTGCATATAAATAATACTGTAAACAAGTTTTTTTTAAACTTTTAAAATATCTATCTAAAACAGTTTAATCTGTGTTATTTTAGACATGTTGGTACAWGTTGTCATTGTTTTGGATTCCTGTTTTCTGCTCTTGTAAAGGGACACCCTCTCCTTAAGTGACCACTTGTTCTTGACACCCAGACGGTTGCTTACTAGAGAGACACTCACCTAATTATGTATGTAACTATGGTGTTTGTTCTATTTGCTGGGGTAGTCTCAAGAATCATGATAGTTTAGCTAATCTATTGTTTGATTAGTTTGCCAGTCTGTTTCCAAGGATGGCAGTGAATGTTTTTATTGAAATAATCTTATGTCAGTTTAGTTTGTACCATTCACTCACACTGCAGTTTGAAAGGATCTATTGTTATTGGGAAAAACCTGTAGTAGATTCCTAGCCTCTCATTTGATTTCTTAGTATTCAGCATTGTTTTTTTTTTTTTCATACTTCAACTAAAGCCACCTAAAAAGAATTTCTTGCTTGAATTGCCAATTTTTTTCAGGGGAGTTTTTCATATTAAAAAATCATTTTTGTTCTCTTAAAAAGATTGTGAAAAAGTAAGTCAATCATTTTTTAAGCACAGTAAAAACCTGCATATACCTGCAGGTGGATTTTGCAATACTGTATAAATTGAAAGTTGATTAGGCCAGTCACACTGTAAATCCACAGCTAGACAATATTATTATATTGAATCAAAAAAACAGTTATATTAGCTGTGGCTAAGTTTGTATATCAAGGTGGTATAAAAACTAAAGTGAGCAAGAGCTGAAGCAATCTTTTAATAAAACAATAGTTTAACGATAACAATATCAAAATGCTTGACAGCCATTACTTTACATCCTCCTATATACTTCTGCACTGAGCCTTTTCTTGCAGGGCACTTTGAACTTTGCCATAACACAACAGAAAAAAGGATTGTTTGCAATTTTAAAAAGCAGAAAATCATATTTTAAATGTATATCTTGGTATTGTAGTCAGACAAGTAATCAATAGAGGCAGTCTAGGACTGCGTGCATATTTGGGCATAATTATAGTCTGAGTATAAACTAAAATTGATCCTCAGTGATAAGTTAAGTTTGTATATAAACTAGTAGTAATGTTGGGTCAGTGCTAAATAAATNAACAACAAGCCAGTCCCACATCAACTGACCCCAAACTTTTGCAGTCCGCTGTGTGGCTCTGGTGGAGTTTACGAATGGGAGCAAGATGGCCACAGTTTTATGTTAATGTACAGCCGACTTGGAATACTTCGTATGATGCGAGGGTACAGATTGTTCATCGATGGAATTGACGTGGACACTGGCCTAGAATTTCGAGCTTTTTTCCGCCAGAGAGGTCTTCTGCATATCGGGTTTGGCCTGCTTATGTTTGTCATTGGACTTGCTCTCTTGTTAGTGTATTTCTTTGGAACGACCAATGCTGCTTTTATGTACAGYGGAATTTCGCTAACGACTTTTGGCGTCGTCCATTTGTTTATTGGAGCAATAACTTACTTCAGAAATCGAAGACAGCCTCAGGATATTCCTAATAACTACTACAGTATGCAAGCTTAAACAGGGAATGTATACCTGCGGCATGACAACGGCCAAAGTGAATCTGAAGTGAGTAGGATATGGCTGTTCACCAGCTACCATAGCCTGCGTTACATAAAACCGGATGTAACGCAGGCTATAGCTACCCTAGTACCCGCCCTAGTAGTACTATCAACGTACTCAGCTTAACTTTACATGTATTGTATTTAGATTTCTTATATATATATACACTACCTACTGCATCTACCATTAAAATAACTTTCGATTGATCACATTGATCAAATTTAAAGGCTGTCATTCTTTTTTTGAGTTATCACATGTGAATAGCTGTAATCTCTTTTCAAGTTTGCAGCTTGCTGGGACGTCGGAGATGGGGGGGCTAGGGGGGCTATAGCCCCCCCCTCCACTTTTTCATTCCGAAAATAAAAGTTAAGAAATCAACGTAAAGTATACTCCTATTGAATCGGGTTTTTTTCGTTTTTTTGTCTTAATGATGAAATACTTAGATCTCTTTTTTTAAATTATGTTAGTAGCCCCCCGCTAAAAAAACCGCTCCGACGTCCCTGGCTTGTCATAACATCCAAGCTATAGAACTCATTTATATTGAGAAAAATGTATACACGCTGAAGGTTCCAATGATTATGATATAGTAGTATAGCTGCACAATCATATAAATTGTAAAAATAAAAGTTATGAAAAGAAGTCTCTTTTATTGTCTGAAATGTTTTGATAGATCTATAAAGTCATGTCGCTCAACCCACCTTGTGCGACACATCTCTTTTAACGCCTTTGTTCAGCGCAGCACTCCTCTATCGCAGTTGTAATATTTTATAGCAGCGAGAACATTTTATTTCACAAAAGGAACTCCGAAATCTGGCCGTTTTACGGCGCTACTGGCCGCTGTCTATTCTTTAATTTTTTGATTAGTTTCAGTTGTAAAACTGCTTTTGTATATATATAAAAATCTTTTAAACGAAATGGGGTGCACGTGCACCCAGTGCACCCGCCCTAGATCCGCCCCAGTTGGACATGGTTTAATGTGTTTGGGTGCCATAAACGTATTGATAGGAGCCATTCCTTTGGTTAGAAGGTATGCAGAAYCACGTTTTATTCCTTAAACTCTGGTATCAATCATGGTGTCATGGATTGAGCTGGGACTGTTACTTTGACTGTAAATCATCACGAACACGTGGAGTCAATAAATTTAGTGCAATTGAAGCTATATTTGGCTTTATTTTATGAGGAAAAATATAATATATYGAAATTCTATTGCAGCTTACATGAAATTCAAGACTCTTTCTTCATGATGGTTAGACTATCATGTTTTTACCTGTTAGTTATGTGACACGATTTCCACACAGCCTTGCGGGCTTTTCCCTGACACTTCATGCCCAATCACGGAGAAGCAATCTGGTAAACTTTATGCGAGTGTCGTCAAGCACTGCAATGACGAGTAGGACTGCGGAATCACACAAATAAAAATATTTTATGGTATAGGATAAAAAGGACATTTATTTGAAGCGTTAAAAGCAAAAGCTCTTTTTATATTTATATGATCAAGCGATAAAATCAAGATAAAACAAGTACTCTTGCTAAACAATGCCAAAATTCATATAAAACTGAAGACAATTTTTAATACAAAGCTTGTACTAAATCTAATGTATCATYTTCAGCAAATACAATGTACAATTAATTTCTTCAATTTTCAAATTCTCACAGAAAACTGCCCTTGAATGACAAATTGTTTTATAACTTTGATGTTTTCGAGATCATCATACTGTCACCATTATTATGCAGATTACGCCAATGATGCATGTGATATATTTGTTTCTGGATAATGATGTAATACTATGTAATGAGCTATTTTTGACGTCACATATGTAGATAAAAAGAGTGGTTTAAGTCGGAGTTTAGTTTGATTGTAACACGCTTAATCAAAGTTTTTTCCAAGGTCGATCGTCGATTAAAAAGTTCCCAAAAAGACGAAATGGTTTGCTGTACTAGAGCAAATTACTGGACAAAATCTCTCGTTACAAGAGATGGGATTGACAAGCAGTATGTTGTCCAACTGGATCGAAAACTAGACGGCTGTTCAGAGCAATACGAAATTTYRGTGAACAACATGCCAGTCCCACATCAACTGACCCCAAACTTTTGCAGTCCGCTGTGTGGYTCTGGTGGAGTTTACGAATGGGAGCAAGATGGYCACAGCTTTATGTTGATGTACAGCGGACTTGGAATACTTCGTATGATGMGAGGGTACAGATWGTTCATCGATGGAATTGACGTGGACACTGGCCTAGAATTYCGAGCTTTTTTCCGCCAGAGAGGTCTTCAGCATATCGGGTTTGGCCTGCTTATGTTTGTCATTGGAGTTGCCCTCTTGTTAGTGTATTTCTTTGGAAATTTAATAACCAATGTTGGTTTTATGTACGGTGGAATWGGRCTAACGACTTTTGGCGTCGTCCATTTGTTTATTGGAGCAGTACCTTACTTCAGAAATCTAAGAGAGCCTCAGTATAT